ACAAAAGGGCCAGCCTCCTGTAGTGTCAGCCAGGGAATTGCACCAAGACATATAACGATACCGGGCTGGATTTGGGGTACCAACCTGAGGCAAGCACCTCCCATTATATTCTCATCTCCCTACTTCTACATGCAGTAGAAGTGGACCGATCTGTCCCACACTATGAGATCTGGTAATAATAGTAATAAAACATCACTGGTGAAGCTGTGGGGAAAACCCCTAGCGACACTGGGAATAGTAACAATGAAAGTTCCAAGGGGCCAAACCTAAAGAGAACTACAGGAGAGGTGGCTGATACCGTGTGAAAAACCCAACAGGCGAGCATTAATAAGTTACCGTTTTGTCTACCCGGCCTGGGCCGTAGCTCCTCGACTGTGACACGGGTCTCCGTAGGAAGTCCTGGGGACTGTATGTGATGAGTTATAACTCAAAGGGGGACACAATAGATCTCTAGGTCGCAGAGATTAACCCTCCTCCCACTTATTCTAAATTCTAAAAAATTCTACATAATTTAATACTAAAAAGTGTCGATAAAGTCATAAACGTAAGTGTTACCAAGATTAAAAACATATGTGCACCACTGACTTTTTCTTTGATATCAAAATTTAGTTCACCGTTTAATGTCAATTAAAAGTGATCTCTTTGATATTTTACCGAATTCGGCCTCCTTGATGAGAACGCAATTTTGGTTTAAACAATGTTTAATAAAATAAAATAAAATACACAAATTTATTTTACCTAATTTATTATTAAATATTATTACTATTAATGATTATTACTATTAGTCCAACCTACGTCAATTTCAAATAAAATTATGGTGCTTAAGGTAATCACAAACCGAATTAAAAAGTTTTAATATCAATAAAACCTATAATTACTAAACGTGTTTCGTTATTATTTTTATTATAACCTATATGCACGTTCTTGGTGAACATGGCAATGCTTCTTACCTTTAAAATATGTCGCATTTATAGTAACTTTCAAATCAAAAATTTCATTTGAAATGCTAAAAGTACTGGAAGAAAATTATAATAACTTGAAAAAATATACAACTATAATATTTTTTACACCCTGTAGCTAGGAAACAAAGCAGAATCAGACCTACATCATGCTGATATGGAAAATAAATCTATTTTTACGTGAGTAATCTCCCCACGAGAGATAGCAGATGTTTTTGAAACACCCTGTATATTTTTTAATTGTAAATATAAAATGAGTAAAAAATATCTAAGATTATCATTTGAAATCAAAGAACATAAGAATTGATAATATTTTAGTAATTTATTTATGTATAAGTAGTATTTAAATTAATCAATTAAAAGTTAATTACCTTGATTTAACCTAACTGAAATGTGAAAAGGAATATCTCTTGGTGAGGGGTCTGGACCATTCTGCAAATCTACAATAAATCTGAAAATGAAAAAAAATGAGAATGTCAGGTTGCTCGTATGTAATTCTGAGTACTACCACAGGTACCTCGACGGAATATAGAAGTTACGAGGTAAATCCACTGTTTTATCGGAAATACGTACTACATTTGAACATCAGAAGTGGTATTGGCCAACTAGAAAGTGCCAATAAATCCAGCAGTGTTAGTGAATAAAAAGACCAACAGGAATAGGTATCAATAGAAAATTTGGAAATTGGTTATCATAAAAATCCTTTGGAAAAAGAACACTCTACTTGAAAAATAGAAAGAGCCAGGGATGTTAGGATGTGCAAGATCCAAGCTATAAGACTATGATATATATCTATCGGTGTTAAGATAGATCTTTGTGTTTGTTTCACCATGTCATATAAAACTAAAGCAGAAACAGTCACCCCTGGAGGATACAATTGAATTAGATAAGTACACAGATATCAATTAAGTTACGAATATAAAAGTTTTGGTTGTTTGCTTGTGATTTTGAAGTCGTGATTAAAGGTAATATCAATAAATTAAATTTGTAGAAACAAAGAAATAAAATAAATGGTTTAGATCAATTAGTTATAATGATATCATTGGTTGGCGGCGCGTTCTGCCTAGTCGTATATCGACAAAGACAGGCAAATATGCGTCGGGCATCTGTATCAGAATTTTAAGTTATTTATTATAGGAACTATGCTGCATTCTACGACATCGTTCATGAAGACGCCAAGTACATCCTAGTCGTGAGAATGCGCCTTAGGCAGCCTGTTATAAAAAATGTCTAAAATTGAATACAAGCTACCTTTTGTATAGTCTCATATAGTACATTTATTATTACACAATTAGTGAAAAGCAGTTTTCTTTCTCCATTTGTTTGTATTAATCTATTAAAGTAACACACTATTTTACGTTATTCTTAATCTAATTTTAATTATGCTTTATTCATATTAGTCCATTTATAATATAATCAGTTTTAAGGCTAGCTTTTAATAAGATAATGATTATCATGATGTAAATAAATTACGACATATTTAATATACAAACAATAGATATGTATATTGATGTTGGTTTTATTTTTGGAAAAATCAAAGAATTTATTAATTTAGTGCTAATTAAAAAGTTTTTTTTGTATTTTTATATCTTTGCTTAAGAAACTTATATGACAGTTAGTTTCATTTTATTCATATGAAATTGTAACAATTTTGTTCAGATATTTGTAATATTGTCATTATCAAATTATTCAATGCAGTCAAAATACTGCAGAGTAAAAAGATAATTAGGTAATCTATACAGGTTGTTCACCATATTAATATATACTAAACATTTGATTTTGCCAAGTTTTGGGTCAGTTGAAGGACTATTAGAGCTACAATTTTTTTTTTTTTTTTTTTTTTTTTTAAATAAATAATAAATAGAGTTACTTTTTTTTAAATGGAACACTTGTATATGAGTCATTATTTCACGATAAAAATAAGAAAATTTGATTAAGGCTTATTACACTCAACCACTGCTTTTGAATATTTTGAATTTTTGTAAAATTGTATAAATTTTATTTATTTCATTTCTTCCAGGGTCAAAGTTTTAATACTAAATATTTACTGAAGTTTATTACACTAGTTAACAATAAAGTAATAAAATTATACTACCTTATACAGAGTGTCTAAAATTATTTTTATTTATCATTAATTTTTTTTTTTTTTTTTTTAATTTAAATGGAATGACTGGTATATTTATAAGAATCAGATGCACAATTTAATTGTATATCAAATTGTATTATACGACTTTTACCTATCCCTTCAATTTTTCATAGAAAATGCATTTTCTTATAATGACCTCAGTTATCAATATACCCATGGAATATTGATATTTTAGATTGTTTTAAAAACAACAAATGTACAAATGTATGAAGAATATTAATAAGTAAACGATGATATTACTAGCCATTTTGTATGCAAAAAGAAAAACTATTTAGATCTTTATAAAAGAGTATATCATTAATTAAATATAGCATTATTTCCGCCCAAATACCAATTAATTACAAAAAAAAAAAAAAAAAAAAAAAAATAAATGTAGATTTGAATCAGAAATCAATATAATAATAAGTTTTTTTTTTTTTTTTTTTTTTTTTTTTTTATTTTATAAATGAAATATCATTTTTGTGTGTTACTTTTTATTACACTGTCTAATACACATAAATAATTCAGTTTTTTAGTATTTGGAGCAATTATTATTACTTTAACGTAAACAGTCAATTTAACGTAGCTTTTGAAATTACTAACTAGATGACGGTTATTTTAATAAACACTATTTAAACAGTTTTTTTATTTTTAATGAAATAAACGAACTATAATGACAATATTAGTATCTGTACTCTTTAAAATTTGGTATATCTTAAAAATAATCTAAATTAAAAAAAAAGCTTAATGGAAGCGTGGAAGAGATAGGTAAAACAGAGAATACAATGGATAGACAATTAAATTACAGTATCTAATTCTCATAAATATACAGGATGTTCCATTTAAATTAAAACAAGTTATTGCCGTTTAAAGCGAATAATTATCAAAGTAAATATTAAAACACTTATATATAGAATTTATTATTTATATACTAACTGATCAATAAATAAACTTCAGTAAATATTTATATTGAAACTATGAATTCCCGGAGAGAAATGAAGCCTTAAATTTATAATAATTTTACAAAATTAAAATATTTAAAAAAACGGTAAGACTTAAGTGTAAGAACTCAATCAAATTTTATCTTTATTTGAGAGGGGCGAGTTTCGTTTAAAGTAAAAAAGTAAAAAATACAACTTTGATATTTTTTATTTATTTGGGACACTCTCTTACTTGTAAAAATATTTTTAAATTGTAGCTCTAATAGTCCTTCAACGAACCCATAACTTACAATTTGTAAAAATCTAATCGTTTAATTTGTGTAAGTTATACGAAGAGAGAAATAAACGTATGGTTGGAATCAAAAAGATACACAGATTTTGAAACATTATAATTAAGTATTTCATACCTGTCACCGGTAGGATGAGCTTGTCCTCTGACTCTGATGGTTAATCCAGGACGCGGACCTCCAGGTATGACAGAAAGGTGGGCCATTTTATTTAAACAAAATTACTCACACGTACAATAACAATTACTAACGACAGGTTTAACGAAAATTTATTTTTATACGCTGCTTATCTTGGTTCATGTTAAGATAAGTTGTCCTAAAATTAAGCGATTTTAAGAATTGTTGATTCTTGATTAACGGATGTCTGAGATAATTTTGGAAATGGAAAAATGATCTAAGAGGTTTTAACCAAAACGATACCGATTTAATAATTGTGAGAATCGTATTATTGTGAATTGATAACATCGACTATTGACATTGTTTACTTCCTTTATCTATATTGCTCTTTAGTTGAGCATAGTAATATACATAACGAAATAGTAAAGTCTAAAGGTAATTACTTCCTAACTGTTTTTACTAACTTTTGAAAATAATAAATCTACAAAAATGAATAACAATTAAATTAATAAAAATAATGCCGTTGACGGTGTTACTGTGCTAAAAAAACTATATTGTTCTCGAAATAGCTAAGTTCAGGCATTTTAAATAACTTTGAAGTGGAACTTCTTTACGCGCGATGGGAATAAAAATTCAAGGCCGTGACACACCACGGCCTTGACCATGCCTTGACGCATGAGCTAGCGAGAAAAAAAAGTGGTAAGGATCGCGCAAACACCAAAAAATATTTGAATTATAGCTAAGAAAATCATTATAATAAACTTGATGCTGTATCTGGGTACCAATATCCTCTGGTTCTGTGCTAGGAAGTACATTTTATGCATATTATCATCGATAGGTTTGTAGCTTCTGAATAAGGGTCTAGGTAAAGTATTTAGCTCATTTGCTACCTCAGAATTAAGATTTTTTAAAAATATATACAGGGTGTTTCGAAAAATCTGAGCATTGATTAATCACGATCCTGCTTAAAGCGCTTGATGTAAAAAGCTGATTTTTGGAAAACGGATTGACTTTAGGGTGTAGAGGTTCGATAAGAAGGAATTTCTCGAAACTTGAATTCTAAGGGGGCGAAACCACCCCTCAAATATTAGAATATTTTTTATTTAAAAACCGGTGAGTTTTTCGGAGAAACTCTTAAACACGTATGTTTTATTTTGTTGTTTTACATATTTTAAGATTTTTTAAAAATTTAAACAGGGTGTTTCATAAAATATGACCATTGAGTAATCACCATTCTGCTTAAACTGCTTGACGTTTAAAGTAGTGTTGGGCATAATCAATTCATTTTAATAATCGATAGAATCGAAAAAATCGGATATAATAATCGAATGATCATTCATATAAACGATTATGGATCAGCGAAGTAAAAATTAGACTTTAGACTATTTGTAGACATAAACCTAACCTAACCTAAAAATATATATACAAGGGTACAATAGCTACAAAAGATTAAAGTTATGTTTTACTAAAACAACGAAATAAAGAATATTTTGTTTGAATTTTAAATTAAGGCACATAATTTAAGCAATAATATGCATGTATTAAAAATATTTTTAAATAAATTTAGGCAGTATATACTTGGGGAGGCTTTGTAAGAGCGTCCATTAAAAAAATTCTCATTTTTGTGACTAAAACGATATTTATTAATTTATTTAAGAGTTTCCTCCTGTGTATTCATGTTTAATATACAATTTTGTGTTGTTTGTATTTTTCAAGCATCTTTTTATACCCCCAAAACGACTTACTTTTAGGACTTCTTAATAAAACTACGTGTTAAATATCCAATCTACCGATTTCTACCGAATCTTGACCAAGATTTCTACCGATAATAAAATTTTGGCAGTGGCAACACTGCTTATTCTATGGGTCAGTAAATATGATTTCCTTTCCTATGATACTTTTGAATAAAAAAAAAGGATTTCACTAATATCTTATGTGTAAAAGTCTTTCTATGGCTAAAAATACAAAAATCTCGTTAGGAATCGATTCTCTCGCCTGCGATAATCGAATGATCGATCATTCAGCCATAATCGAAATATCTCGATTACATCATTCATAATCGCCCAACACTAGTTTAAAGCTGCAATTTTTGGCAAACGGATTGACTGTGAGGTGTAGAGGTTCGATAAGGAGAGGTTTCTCGAATCTCAAATTCCAAGAGGGTGAAAACGCCCCTCAAATATTACAATATTTGTTATTTAAAAAACGGTTAGTCTTTTGGAAAAACGCTTGGACACGCATAATTTATTTTGTTTTTTTACATATTTTGAAATTGTTTAAAAAATCATACAGGGTGTTCCAAAAAGTTGAGTAATAGATTAACCACGATTCTGCTTAAACTGCTTGACGTAAAAAGCTTATTTTTGGCAAACGGATTTTTCGATAGTCAAATTCCAACGAGATGAAACTACCCCTCAAATATTATTAAGTTATATAATAATATCGCCATATTATTTTTTCTCTTGCTGACATAAATGTGAGAAAATTTTATCCCGTTTGTATGTTAATGGAAATTCTTGCTTTGCTTTATCATCACCATTACAAATGATTAATTCGACGCGAACGAAGTCGCGGGTACACGCTAGTTGTTAATAATAAAACTCTAAGTATATTTTAAAGAATGAAGTTTTTATTTTTTCAATATAACATTTTACGGAATAGTTAAATCTGTTGCTAGTTAATAATAGGTACTCTTTAATTATAAAACGCTCCGAATTTATGTAATTTTCAGACAGCAGAATATAGATACTCAGTTGTTGTGGTGAGGAAACGTTGCTCTGAAGCTGAAAAAATAGAACTTCTCTGAAAACTATATTTAGAAGTAAAAAATTAGGATAAAAGACAAGTAGACAATATAGTAAAAAAAAATGTTTAAGTTGTTTTTTTCCTTAAGCAAAAACTTACGTTGTCTGGCTTTAAACGTAACAGATTCTACAGAACAGTCACCATAAACGCTAAGATGGCTCACTTGGTTCAGAGGGATTCTGTGTGGGTACTCGCAGAAAAATTGACCATTGATTGACACCTAAAAAAACCAAAAATGTTTTTCAAAATTACTTTTTAGTTATCTAATTTTTCAGTTTTCTAATGTTTATCTTTCATTTTACAAACAGATTAAAAATAAATATTATCTAATAATCTGTATAATTTATCTTATCTATTTATTAAGTAAAAATAAACCTATTATTCATGCATCTGCTGATGCCAGTAATATACAGTGTGTTTCAGAATATATTCAATAATAATAAAAATATAATAACTTGCTAAACTAAGCCAAAGGAATGGGATATATTACTTACAACATATTTATCAACTTCAACAGAAATATTTATCACAAATCTCTGTCCCGGGCGAAGGCTTAAAGATCCATCTCTAGCTTCTGCATCCCAAACATTATTGCTTTTACTGTTTCTCACAATTACACCTACAACATAAATTTTTAATCCATGATAACTACTGTACAGGGTGGACCATTTTAGTTGTTTCTATAGGGTTGTTATGCTGGGGTTGGTTGATCGCGCTTAGGATACCGCTCAAAATATAAATCAGCTGCCATTTGCTTATGTTTGTTAGACTCAATATAATATTTTAACATATTATATTTCTCAAAATTTTCAAATTTACTTATTTTTATTATTTAAAATACACACACTTCAATTTGTTGAAATGAAATGTCACGCATCCATCAAAGGTATGTTCCGATCACCATGACAACCGTTTACTTTGTTACTCGGCGCGGCCTACTACTAACTGGATATTTTAAGAAAAATTTGAAATGTTGAGGTTAATAGTGAAAGTAAATATAGAGTGTTATATATTTTTGAAAAGCCCATGCCAAACTGAATCAGGAAATTTAAAAATATACAGGGGGTTCTATTTAAAAAAAGCATAAGTATAGTTAATATCTAAAAAAATATTTTTTTCGAAAAAAGTCTGACTACGCCACTGCATTCTACACAGGAAAGTGCCTCTAGAATGAATGTATAATTAATTTTTTCGTGGTTGCTTAAATAAACAAACTATCGAACATCTTCAAAAAGTACAAAATTTGAGAATCCTCCCGTAGCTTCGAAACCGATCAAGATAGCCACGATCCGTTTGCGCCATTGTTATTTTTTCAAAAAAAAGAACCCGAGACTGCAGTATCAAAATTTGAATATTTCTTACGGTGTCCTAGATACCTTATAGAAACAACCAAAATGGTCCACCCTGTACGGTTATTTAAAATGGTTCTTAATTTTAGATTTTGAGAGAATATTTGTATTTTAAGAAAAATAATTTCATTTAATTAAAGAATTTCTACCTTCATTCAACCTTGCAGAGCAATGAAATGGAATATCTTTAGATCCTCTGCCCTCTCCAGTTTGTAGATCAACTCTAAACCTAAAATTCGAATTATTAAATTAATAATAATATTTTATAAATTTTATATCAATTATAATGTAATACTATTAGACAGACATAGAAATTGAAACACCCACTATTTGCTTAGCTATATTTTATAATGATTTATCGTTTCATTGCCTGCATGAAGTGTAGTAAACCAGAACATTTTTATATTATCTACTATTAACAAGACTTTATCTACTATTAACAAGAAGTGTATCGTCAATTAAACGAATTTGTACGATGTGGGATAGTAGGCCTACGAGTGGCTGATATGACCTTTCGGGAAACTAAAGTGAAAAAAAAAACTAGTGATCTTAAAGAAAGGTTTCTAAGACTTAAAACCTTTAGAGTAACTGAGAAGCAATTTTAGTGACAAACAGTGAGTGGAGTAAAATCGGATTGCGTTGCTTGTACTGAAGCGGAAACCATAACTCCGGGAACAAACACCAAAGCATAAATCATTTATGTAGATAATTTTATCAGCTTTATTTTTGTATATAGAAAGGTTTTCAGTAAAAGGCATAGTTTCCGAGATATAAGCAAAAAAGTGGAAAAATGTTGTTTATGTTTAACACCTCCTCGATCTCTTTAATAATGTGGAGCTCGTCGTCTATCTTCGGGGACTTTTGACACATATCAGCCCAAATTTAGAGGAATCTTGTTGAGGTGTTTAGGTTCGGTTAACCTTCTTCAACCTTCAACTGCTCTAGTTCCATATAATTCCTTGTCTGACGTTGTTAGTATGATACATTCCGTTTGAGAGAAGGTTTGAGCTGGGACAGTATATTTGTCTGGTTGTTTTGGTCTTGTAGTACCGACCGTCGTCAACCTTTAACTGCTCTAGTTTCATATAATTCCTTGTCTGGCGTTGTTAATATTG